GGCACGTCCTCCCGTGCCTTCCCTGCCCAGACGGCCGGCGCCTTCAAGCAGAGGCCGTACAGCGTGGCTGTGCCCGCCTTTGCCCAGGTGAGCGTGGGGGCCCGAGCAGGCTGTGGGTGGCTGGGCTCGGCCACAGCCCCGCGTTGGCTCCTCCCCTGGTAGCCTGGGTGCTTGGGGTTTGGGCCTGGCATCTGCACCCCTGCTGGGCCATTTTAGGGGTCACAGCAAGGTGTCGTTTGCAGTCTCTGGGCTCAAGAAAAGGCCCAGGTCCCTCTGCCTGCCCTTCCCCTCAGTTGGGGCATCTGGACGCTGTCTTAGGAGGGCATGATGTCCAGGGGGCCCTTCCCTGAGAGCCATGGAGCTCCTGCAGTCATGGGTCCGAGTGCAGACACAGGTGCCTGCCACTCGGGGCCTGATGTGGAACTGGAACCTCCTAGTTAGTGTGGTTCTGGGCCCCTCGGGAGGCAGGGCCTGACACACACGGTCAGGCCACTGGTACCAGGGAGCCAGAGTCAAAAGATCGAGGCCTGTGTCCTTGGGTGTGGGTCCCCCGGCGTGTGTGTCAGTCTTGAGGCCACCGTGGGGCTGGGCTGTGAGTGTGGACAGTGCCGCACGGCTCTGCCCAGGAAGCTCGGAGTTGGAGGGGCTGAGACCTCCAGGACGCTCATCTGCTGTGGCTGCGTGGGAGGCAGGGGCCAGCCTCCAGGGCTGGGCCTCAGGTTGGGGTCGAGAGCCCCCCAGGCAGCAGGGAGGAGGAGAAAACGTTTCTCTAGAATTTGGGGCAGTCGCGGTTGACCACCAGGGAGGTGACCTGACAGCTGAGGTCCCCCACGCTGACGGCGTGACGTGGTGCCAGAGGTGGACGAGGCAGAGAAGGCTCTGCGTGCAGGGTGGGGGACCCCGCATGGTGGTTGTCCTGAGCGGCCACCCCGCCGGCCCCCTCGCAGAGGGGCTTCCTGGCACAAGCTGTGTGAGGTCCTGGGTTGGCCAGGGCTCTCTTCGGGAGTTTGCAGTTTAAGAGCGAACACGTGGTTTGAGACAACTAAGTGGGCAAGACTAGGGTGGTGGGACTGGGCGCTCGGAGCCTTCCAGAGAAGGTGAGGCTGGAGCTGGTGGTCGGCGCTAGCGGCCGGGAGAGGCTGGCCAGCCTCGGGGGAGGTGTAGTGCCTTGGGGTCAGGGACAGGCTGCTGAGCAGCGACACGTGGGCGCCTCTGGGGCCTTGTGCACAGCTGGCCAGGCCTGGAGGGGTCTGACCACTGCGTACTACTCGCTTCCTGGTCTCTGGATTTGGTTTTGTTGCAGAGAGGGCCACGGAGGGTGCTCCCAACACCGCTGACGGCCCCGCACCCTCCTTCCCCAGGGGCTAGGAAGCTGCAGCTGCGCTGAAGGCTCAGGGGCCGGCACAGGCTGGCCTGGGGGGCCTGCAGGTGACCGTCCATCGCAGCTGCCCTCCCACACCAGCCTGTCAGCTTGGCTTCCCTGCCCAGCCCCCCATTACTTGCCCATCCCCCCAGTGTCACTGGGTTCCCCAGGCAGCCCTCACCTGCCCAGGTGCTCCTGCCATGTGACTGGCAGGGTGTGCAGTCCGTGGGGGTCGTGTGTGGAGAGGGGTTGTCAGGTGGTCTGTCCTGAGCGAGCCCATGAGTGTGAGCTCACACTGCCCACAGCTGAACACAGGCCAGGCAAGGAGACCCCCTGTGAACTTGGGAGGTCACTGTCGTGGTCCTCATGCCCTTGGCTGCAGACAACACTACACTCCCTGTGGTCAGGAGGGGCACCTGGCCCACCCAGCCCTTGTCCTGCGGGCCCTGCCTCACCCCCTGGACCCCAAGCTGACCTGTTTCTGCTTCACCACCCCCCACAGGGCCTGGATGACTACGGGGCCCGGGCTGTGAGCAGGTAAGGGGGTTTCAGATGCGTCCGTGGAGGCTGTGGGCGGTGGGGAGCTGCTCCACTGGGGGCCGCCGTGGAGCACTGCCCCCTCTGGTCTGCGCGGCAGGGGCCTGTCTGGAGACCGCGGTGTCTCCAAGGCAGAGTGAGCAGGCCTGGGGTGCCTGCTCCCTGCCCCTCACCCTGCTGTGCCGCCCACTATCTGTGGGGTGGGATCTTCAGGGCAGGGTGCCCTGTCCTGTGGCCGCAGTCCGGAGATCGCCGAGTGGGAAACGGCCTCTCCCAGAGCTGCCTCTGTGCTCCCCCGGGGGTGGGTTGGAGCCCACCTGGCCCTGTGCCTGAGCCGGAGCAGGGGCCCCCTGCCCCCACCACGGGGCTCCAGCTCTTTCCCAGTGCAGCCCAGCAGGAGCCCCTTCACCCCGTGGCCCTGCTCGTCCTTCCCGGCATCGACCCGCCTTGTCCACTATCAGCCAGGAGGGGGCTCGCCTCCCCCCCAGCTCATCCCCCGAAAACCAGCCCACACCGGCAGCTCGGTGCCACTGCCTCCTGGGGCCCCGACCTGGGCCCGGCCCTTGTCCTGGCTCCGGGGGTCTCTTGCCCCTGCCCCCAGGGCCGGTGGCCAGCCGACCCTGAGCAGCCGAGGGCCGCGGCGGGGCGGCGCGCACCCAGCAGCCGTCCTGTGCTTTGTTCCGCAGCGGCAGCGGCACACTGGTGTCCACAGTGTGAGGACGCTGACGCCGGCAGCTGCTGCCCAGAAGCGCTCCCGCCCCCGCGCCCCGTCTGCCTGGCCTCACCGGTTTACACCTTGGCGCCGCTGGTTTCTCCTGGGTGGTGTTTCTCTCCCACCGGCCCCGCTCCCTGCCTTTTGGTTGGTGCCCCCAGACTCTGTGATCCCCCAGGGTCCATGGTGCTGCCCCACCTCTGCACCCCGTGTTTACACGCCCCTCCCGTGTGTCCCACCAGGTGGGACCTGCCGCCGGGTGGTGCGGGTGGGGCGTCCTCGCCGCTGCTCCCCGCCTGCCGTGTTCATGACGCGCTGTCCCTTTTCAAAGGCTCAGCAAGAGCCAGGTCTAAAGTTTGAAAAAAAAAATCATAAAAAAAAAAAACAGGAAGAGAACTTTTTTTCCTGAAAAAAAAACAGATCTGCATGGACTCCGGTGTACGTACTGTTATCTCTGCATCTGACCCCCCCAGCACACGCTGGCACCTTTGGGAAGGGCGGAGTGCGGGGGGCACCCTTCTAGGGCCACGCCCAGAGAGGGGCTCGGCTGAGCCCGGGAGGCCTCCT